ACATAATACAGCGTCCAGATAAAATGTTTTCAAAATCATAGCATTTTAATTAAATTGCATGAAACACAAATCCACTAACCCAGCGACAAATTAGTCAAGGTGGTACAATGTTTGAATCCAATCAGATGACACAGGTCCACCCCACCCACCCAAATAAATTCACAAAGAGTATAGCACTTCAGTTACTTAAGTACCACCAATTGGTGTACATACAGACAACCTCAGGAATAAGGCACACGACCTTTGACCTTCACCTGTCAGGCAAGATTGAAACTTGACAAGTCAGTAGGAATTTTTTGCCAGAGATTCTTTGAAGGCAGGGGGTAGTATGCCAGAGACAAGGAACTCACTGACAGATGGTTAAGTACAATATCTATAGTAAGTAGATTGGTTTACAGGCATGATTGGCCTCGATCACTTTGGTCATATCAAAGCCAGCACTAAAATAAAGACATCATACCACCCAGATAGATCGCAACTTCCCCTCCACTCTCCCTGAATATCAGCGACATCCCTCCTTTCTTCCTTAAAAACGGATTAATTTATCTTGAACTTGACATTTTTAATTATTTGGTTAAAATGCACCTTTTTATTTATCACTTATTTTTAGATCTATACCAACCATGAATACAAGTCAGATTATTTGAAAGAGGGAAATACCGGTAGTTTGATTAATCAATCAGTTTATCAATAAGGTCAATTATTTTTTATTAATTAAATTTAAAAAATAAAATGATAAATGGTTTCAAAAATAATAATAATAATACCGCAAGAGAAGTTTAAATAAAACACACCCAGAGGATACAAAGCACTAATGTACTCGACAGTAAAGGCAGAATAAGAACGATTAATTAAAACAATAAGTAAAGCTAATTAAAAATGCAATTCTTATAGTAACCAGGGAGGTTTGAGAAAGGTACATGTAACTAAATAACGGAGAAGCAGTGGGGGAGGGGGGGTACAAATTAGATTGGTTGTTGCATTAGTATCACTGACGATTATCTGACTTGACTCCGTGAGGATATAATTTAAATTAAATTAACCTTTGCAACATCAGACTTTCTTGCTCAAGTTTTTCTGTTCTTTTTTCTTATATTCTTCAATATTTCTGGAAGTGAACCCTAATTTTGGAACCAACAGACAAAATTTGAGGCAATTTTCAGTTTTTACTAAAAAACATTTGGCTATGTTTGTCCCTCTCTTCTGAAGGAAAGTGCAGACTATAAACAGGACTATTTTGTGAATTTGTGATGGAAAGAGGGAACTGGTGGTGAAATGGTTAAATGCTATTACATCCACTGTTTGAACATGAATAAGATTCTCTCAGGAGTGACTGAATTAATAACCTATTCAGTACACTGGGTGTACTAAGTTTGCAACAACATCATCAGATGACACTGATCAGAAGGAAAATATATTTTATTTGGTCCAGTTCAGTTTTCAGTTTTGAACTTGGTTGACATTTTGAAGATGATTCGAGGAAAATTGTTTGAACTTATTGTAACCACAAGCAAAAGAATTTTACAAATATCTTCGTAAATATACATGTGAAAATCGGAGACAACGACGACGACGACAGACATACTTCCACCATATGCCTTTTCCTTAATTTAATGATATAAGCACTACTAAAATTAGGCAGAAACAAAATAAGCTCTTCTCAATTAGGCCTTTTCAAAAATACAGTCAGGACTATTTGGCAGTTTGCGGCACTAAAACAGTAGATGGTGTTAATATTACAATTTGACCAAAGCATAATTATTGTAGGATTTGAAAATCCAAAGTGATGGAGTGATTTGACATCAACAGACAGCCCATCTGCCAACACTCCTATTAACCATTCCAACTATATGGATCCAATGACAATGTTTGTCTGCACAGGGCTTTGAGTGATATGAGAAAAATTCCAAATACACATGTCAGCCATTTACTGGGGGCTTTAGAAGCAAGCCAAGTACAATGTCTAAGGAAGATCATAATCAACCAGGCAGATCGAAGAGCAGCTATTTAATTTTTAATTTGTTTATCAAACAAGTAGGATTCCAAATTTATTGGTTTGAATTACAATGAAGTATGTGTTTATCAGAATGGTTTAGAATTTAGAAGGTCAGTACCATGACAGGAGGTTTTATTGTCCACTCCATTTTTACTATGATTTCATTAGTTGCTGGCAAAAAAAGAAGAAAAATCATGTTGAAGCCATTGCATGAATCAATTGAAAAATTAACATGTCACAACCAAAAACAAACTCATCAAATATCAGTGAAAATAAACTTTGCAAAAAAGTTGAAATGTCTTTTCAGTGAAAATTAATTCCAGCTTAAAACAAAGTATTTCACAGTACTTTGTACTTTGAATGGTTGCTATAAAGGCAAAGAAGAAATTCTAGTACAAAATTAAAAGGAAAACAAAATCCAAGGGCAAGTACCCAATATGGACAGAAAAAAAAGAAGAACCGAGATAAAAAAGACATATCCAGCATAAATCTATGTTAATATCCAATCTGCTGCCTGAACCAGAAAACTGGAAAAATATAAATCTGTGATCACCACCTGGAAAGTTACGCATGATTGGCTCAGGAGAGTGGGGGACTGAAATCATCCAACAACAACACCAACTTTCTATTATCAATTAACAAGTATAGCATGTGGTCATATTCCCATCCTGGTACTTTGTACAATTGATAAAACTTGGAAACTACTTGACATGTATAGTATATCTAGTTACAAATGAAAATAGAGAGTCAGAGTGATCCAACATAGTCTATAATCAAGTCGGTTAAGCGTTTTCGAAAATACTATGATAATATTAATACTAGTATCAAAGCTTACTTTCTGCATTTCATACACTGAAAAACTCCGAGAAGATGGTTGAACAAATTTTTTAAGGTTTGATAGAAAAACTGACTGAACCTTATACTGAAGTCATCTTTTTAACCGTTCACGGAATATATTTCTTTATGGTTTTTTTGCCACAATTTATGACTCAAAATTGACATAAAATAATAATGGTTTTTAAAATACATAATAATACACAAAATGTTGAATATATTAATGTTTTATAAAAATGGTTCTTTTTCTGTAATTTTCCCTGTAATTATTTTTAAATTCCTCATTTTTATTATAAAAATAAACGAGGGGATATAAAAGTATCAGATATTTCGGATTTACACATCGCCATAATCAGTGATAATCCAAGGACTTTTTCTCGCACACTCTTAATTAGTTACTCTAATTACTTTGTCGGATTTTACAGGGACAGATGTTACACGCTGAACATTTCAGAATGTTACACTGAATAAGACAGAAACATTACTGAATATAGAACTCCCCACCAAAACCAGATCTAAACCGATCAATGCAATTATCCTCACATGGCATTGCTGAGAAAGTCATACTAGTTGAATGGTTGTTAGTCAGGGCATTTATTTATTTTTATGAGGTAATTTGACAGCTCTGTTATCCATATGCCACTAAATTGGCTATGCAAAACAACCTATGGGCTATTTATACTCTACCAAGAGACCATAATAACACATGCAACAAATTAGAAAAATTAAAAACAAAACTTTGAAATTAATAATACAATGGAGAGATATACTGTAGAATAATTTATTTTCGCATGGAATTTATTTTCGCTATTTTCGCTGAAAGGATGAAAATAAAATCCAGCGAATATACTTTTTTTCCTATATTTCACATTAAACTCATCAAAAATCAGTGAAAATAAATTCCATACAAAGCACCCAAAAAGCTTTTTCAGGGAAAATAAAGTATTCCACAGTATTGAATAAATTAATTTGTTTTCATGTTGGGGAATTCTGTACCTGATGAACCATACCCAATTACATTTAGATTTTTACTACACTGATCACCACATCAGATCAGATGCCGATAGGCTGTGAATGACATTATCGAGAACAGAATTTATTTCTGACTGTTACTATAATTAAATTGATATTGTTTTAAAGTATGAATGTGTAGGAATGTTAGGCCCCCCAAAAAAATATAGAAATGTTTCTGGTTTTATTTGGGTAAGTCAATGTAAAAGTACATGTGGCTGACAAAATTAGGGTTAAAATGTTCATAAAAAATGGGCTTTCATTTTCCAGAAAATTAAATTGTTTTTTAAAATGATGCTTGCAATGACCAGAAAAAAATGTTTGGGCTTTATGTGCATAAAATGAGTGATTTGACTTCTGGATCAACAAACATCCGCACGGAATATGCCACACTCTCACAGAAAGGCCAGTTTTACTTTACTATGATTTTATAATTTAGTATTCGTCCCCAATGCAATAGATTGCTATTGACAACGCATGTTAATGCATTAGCAAGTTTAAAGCTCCAACACATGCATGTATGGCACGATAGAACACAATACAATATTTTGATAATGTGAAGCTATGACATCACACAATGACCAAATATGGGCAATTGTATTATATTTATTTATTCAGAGTTCTATCAAATGTGATTGTTGTTTACTTACTCCACTATCATGGTTATTTTTATATTGTTGGTGAAGAGGTTCATGCCCTATAAACCTTTAACAGGCTTTTTTGCAGTGTGACGACCTGTTTGTGTTCAATGATTGGTTTTAGATAGGACATCATCCCAATGATACAAGTTCAATAATGTTTATTATTGTTATGATGTTTGTATGTTTATTGAAGTGTGTGTCAATGTTTCTCAGAGTACTGTGGAATACTTTATTTTCGCTGGAATTAATTTTCGCTGAAAAGGCTTTTTGGACATTTTGTATGGAATTTATTTTCACTGATTTTTGATGAGTTTAATGTGAAATATAGGAAAAAAGGTATATTCGCTGGTTTTTATTTTCACTGAATCATCCCTTCAGCGAAAATAGCGAAATAAAGTATTCTACAGTAGTTTGGAGGCTACCAAGGAGACAGTCTTATACAACATACATACATATTTAACAGGTGAAAAATAAGTTAGCATCAATTTCTTGTGAAAGTCAATTTAAATCCCACTTACCTCTTGTGCACTAATATTATTGCTGGTGAAGTTGAAACTGTATCTGCGCTTATCAGAAGGAACTTGGCTATGTTCAAATGCAGTCCACTGCCGGATGAGTGATATCTCACATGTCCCACACACCAGTACCATGCCTCCCATTTTAATAGCACCTTTAGGTTTATCTATCTCTGCAATGCATGGGTATTTCTGTATCTCCACTGTCTTCACCTTGCCTCGCATAACTAATTTTGTACAGAGGTAACAAACCATGTTGTAAATGCAGTATCTACGTAACCATCGATTTGAATCTCGTAGGCCGTTTGAATTTTCATATTCGTCCCACTGGCAGACTAAGTTATGGTAACAGATGGTACAAGAAATGACAACCCCCTCACTATCCATAGGTATCGCATTTGATGCGGGATCACGGTGGGCAAGAAAAGGGAAAAACGGTCCCCCTGGAGACTCGCCTTTGGCAGGGTAAGCACAAAGTTGGTATCTCTCTGTCATTTTGACTGGTGTAGCACAAACAAAACACCCATCTTTGACCGTATGACTAACTGTCAGACTTGACTCGCGACTTGGCAGAACAGGAGAAGGCAACTGCAACTGAGATTCCGATTCATCCTCCATAGTTAGCCTATGGGGTGTTCCATGTTCTACAGGGCGTAAATTGTACCGTCTATCAGTAAGTGGAATTCCTTCAGACTGGTATATTTGCCACTGCTGCTGAAGAGTAAAATAACACGTTTCACAGGCCAATATTCTGCCCTCTTCGTCAATTGCTTTAGCTCTGGGAGAACATTTAAAATTAATAATAAAAGGGAAGTACATTATATGCTTGCTGGTTTTATCAGGAGCCAAGGTGTGCACATATCGAATATTAGATCTTGGAAACACCTGGGAGCAAAGGTAACATATCTCTTCCTGTGATGGTTCACTTAGTTTCCCCAAGGCAGTAGTTTCCGACGAAAGTACAGGTGGTAATTTTCTGAATGACTCATTCCGTATTTGATATACCCGATTTTCTTCAGGTAAATTTGTTACTTCATAAGCTTTCCACTGCCGACGAAGGGCCTTATGACAAGTACTGCACACTCTAGTTAGTCCCTGCGCAGTGAGCGGCATGGCACCAGGTGGAGGATTGAAATTCTCAAGGAAAGCAAAATAAGGGTCACCTTCTGTGTGTTTCTTGGAGTAAATGAATCTACCAGATGTGGCTGGTTGGGTGATACCACACAGGAAGCACACCATAGTAGCCAACATTCCAGGCTCCTCGTTGGTGGACACACTTGTTTCAGCACTTCGCAACTGATATCTTCGTTCATGAAGTGCCACGTTACGATCCTGATAAACTTGCCACTGTCGGAATAAAAATTGTTCGCACTCTTCGCATGTCATTATTTTGCCACTAAAGTCGGGTGGCTTGGCCCCTGGAAAAGGCGTGTGATTTTGAAGCGAAGGGTAAAATGGAGTTCCTGTGTTGAGTTGGAGCTGATACCTAGTGTTGACAGCCCTCACGCACTCTTTAGGTCTCTTCCTACCACAACAAAAACACACTTCCATTTGTTTGACTTCTTTCCCGTTCACAGCCGGGGACTTGCCTTTGCTCACGCGTTCACGATCACGACTGGGCGTTCGAATTTCATACCTCTTTTCCGGGGCACCATTTTGCTTGTTCGCGTTTATAATTCCCTGGTCTTGATCCTCGTAGTGGCGTTTAAGATTGTCGACATCGTGTAGTTTTAACTTGTAAAGTTCCTCCCTGGCTTGTTGGCTTACTTGCATTTGCGGGTCCGGCTTGTCAGCCCCACCCCCTCCAGACCTTTTCAACCAGTACAAGCGTTTAACTATAGGCGTGTTCGTACGCTCAAAAGCGTGCCATTGTTGAATCAAAAACGCATAGCAAACTTGGCATGCTTCGACAGTCCCGTCTTGGTTGAGAGGTCGGGCGCCTGAAGGCGGTTCGTGGTATTCAAGGAACGAGAAAAACGGTTCCTTACCTCGCACCCGGCTGTTGGTTTGACAATACGCGCCTTCACTTCCGCACACAAAACATATCGGAGATCTTGTCGACTTGCCTTTCATGGGTTTGTACGAATTTTCATTCTTCGTTCCCGCCGCCATAATTTCGAAATTGCTCGTCTGCCAGCACTGCGCTGTTGATGAGGTGCACACTTATCCAATCGTCTGTGATTTTAAATCACTGCGAGCAAAAACTCCGAAAACTTCTTCAATTGGGCGATGCCGTCTTTCGCCCACGTAATACAAACAATCGTTTTCTGAATATGAACATTTCACAAATGCGAGAAAATAGACACGAGAGATGGAGAGGGACACCACATTGCTAGATCACTGCTGAACGTGTGTGAAATCTCTTCCTGGTCTGTAAAGCTGTCGGCCCACAATGCTTTGTTTATACATTCGCCCGGAAACGTGAATATTGCATACTGCAATACCAGATCGCTTCTGTTTTTAAATCAACCAAAGCATTTTCTGGACCAAAATAACCACAAAACAGTTGAAAGTTGAAGTTCCTACCCCGATAGGACGAAATACGCCATCCGTGATACCATATTTGCTAGAGACGGTGACACACGATGACAACGGGAGCTACGTTGCTAGAGTCTGGGCCCTTTGACCTATGTTTTATATTGAATGACGATCTAAGCCACCTGCTCGGCTCTCGGCTGAGCTCACCGTCCTTCGATACTGGCGAACCGTGTGTATATATACACACAATTGAGAACAACCGTCAGTCGCTCGAGCGAATATAATACGTTGAAGGGGGATAAGATTTTTTTTTAAATAAATGGAAAGCTATTCAATTATTGTCTTTGTTTTTTTCGACAGTTCTTTTTTTTTTCAAGAATATATGATATTATAAATTGCCAAATGTAGAAATTGCTACAGTTTTACGTTTTATTTTTATTAATTACAAATAATTGTGAATAAATGACGAAGATCGGATATTTGTGTTGGGAAACCAAAAGTAGTGCACTTACACACGATTATATGCAAATCGACGAGACGAAATCGGTGAATGTTGATAACAGTAATTTATGTTTCTGTAGTCGTTAGTGAAATAATACAATCTTTTTTACAGATACCATTAAATTTTACCACGTAGTCCGTTTGCAATTGGTAAAAAAAAACGAGAATCAATTGTAAAGCATGGATGGGAATTTGGGGATAGCAGTTGGCGACTCTGGTTAATACCTGTTACGGTACATGTATGTAAATACGTGTATCACATGTGTTAAGGGGGATTCACACAATGCTTGCAACACGTGCGTTTTCCACGTACGCTTGTTATACCTATATTGCAAAAGTACTCCTGCCCCGTCTCGTACTGAAGCAACGCGTGGACAAAAAACAAAGACTTTTTGGTAACAGTAGCTAAGGTTGAAAATACAATGGCTTTTCTTCTTCGTTTTTATTGTGTAAAATAGGCAAATTGTTTTGTTTGTCAAATCAGCGACAGTGCTTGTGTCTTTTTTTAATTAACAAGTTTTTTCGAGGAACGAGATAGCTCTTCATCATGTATTGTTCGACCTGTTTATTCACCGTGATACGACCAAGAAGAACAGAGCACAGAGGCACAGAATTGTACTTTCTGGGACGACGACGGTGCGTGGTAGGCGATGGGGGAGCGGACAGCCTTAACGCTTGTGATCGCTTTATGGTATTCACTTCACTGTACATTCAATTCGGGGTTGCTTTGATAAAGTCATTATGATCACGATGTTTAAATCATACCGGATGTGACACGAAGTAGTTTGCATGTAATAAAAATACGACAAAAGTAATAAATAAAAAAAAATATTGCGTAAAATGAAACATTGTCCAATTTTTGGCATAATTATTTTGTCATTGAATGTTATCGACACGGTTATTCGAGATGATCGCTGAAATCCTACGGAGTTGATCGACACAGGTGCATGTCCGGCATGGCATGGCATTGTTATGTAAATTAAGTCGACTGGATGAGAAACTCTTATCATACGCAATTAACAATTTTAAGTGTCTCTTCAACAGGCGTGATACCCAGACCATTGCACGCTCGTTCTGAACTTTTTACGGTCTTTATATTTCTTTATTTGGCGCCCCCATTTATTTCCAATCATTTATTTTTGTTTACATTTATTTAACTCCTTAGTTAATGTGAAATGTACATGGCACAATTATAACACATGCCCACATAGTCCAATCAAGGTTTATATATATATATATAGAACATTTCACATATTTTGACAGATATGAACTTCTCGTGAATCAATGGGTGATTTTGTCCACGCGTCACGTTTGTAACAAAACATAGAACCAGCATTAACGAGTATTGTGCGAGCCAATTTAGCGAGACCAGCTGTTACTGCGCATTGTTAATATGCGCCGTTTCTGTAAAAAGCCTTGTCTCCCCTTTTTTCTGATGTATGCACCTGTTTTCATGCAAAAACTCTTATAATTTAGCATATTTATTGTGAATGCCGGGCGATCTAAAGATAATATCGCAAAGATGACTTCTCCATTGATTTTTCTCATCTCGCTCAATGCAGATCAATAGATCTCCGACTGACCCTCTATGGACGAAGATAACAACAAGCGAAAAGTATAAAAAGCGGCTTTTCTCGTATTTTTTTTTTTTTGAATATAAAAATCACCACATGTGCATCGTTTTATATGAATGCAAAATTAAAATAAATTGAATGAAAAGAAAAAGCTGGATCTTGATCGTACGTGATTAATTCATTCACGTACATTGCCAACCAACAATGAATACAAATTATCTCAGAGGTCGAGAGCAGAGAATACGCTTTGCGCGCATACGGGCGCATATTTGTGTTTTGTTTTTATTTTTTGGGTATGGTAATTAGACAGTAACTGTCGATTGTGCAGTCACGACGTAAAATATTGTATCGGCAGCCGCTGTCTTTACTGTAATAAGTGAACGCGTCATGTGTTCTCTGCCATACAAATTATTAATTACATCGATTCGTGAAGTTTCATTGTATGACAATGATCCAGTCGAAACATTCATAGCGCATGCGACTGAGATTACGCTGCTACCTGTCAAGTTGAAAAGTATCGGTTATTTAATTGTATTTGGTAACATTCGCCTGTGACAGTAAACGTTCAAGTTCATATTGTGTTAAATTCAATTAATGTTCAAATGTACACCGAGTTAATGTGACAACGATTCACCTAAAAGTGAAGGATTATTATAATGATGAAACAACATTATAGAGAAAGTTAAATGATGTCACATATTATATGCCGACATCTAATGAAATTAACCCATTAAATGCATACGCCACCGTTTACATGCGTGCCACGAAGCGACGTCATCGCTACACTACATGTATAGTGTTTTACGTTACACAGAAAGCGTTGCATTTGTCCCTGATAAAATGCATGTAATGCCATCCGATTTTGCTGAAATCATCCGAGTTAGCGTTTTTATGCCACGTGTTTGTTCGTCTTTTTATAATTTGATACCAAACACATAAATATACCCGTTTATTTATTGACGCCAATTTGCACGAAGGTGATTTGGTTGAATTTGCATATCACGATGCTTCCAAAACGTTACGTCATCAAAGTGATAAATCTACGAGTTTCTTGAATTCACCACTCCTGGCCAACTGTTCCATCGCTACAGAACAAATACATAGAACATAGAGAATACATAAGCAAAGTTTATATATATTACGGGCAACATACATATAGAACTGGAAATTTACATTAACGAAAGTGTCTTTTTCTAAACCAGTGTTAACAATATATTTATTTCCATCATTTCTTTTTTTCTTTTTTATTCTTTTTATT